GGTACCATGTGGTTTTGGGAATTTTTTTGACATTTATGTTCGTCTTAATTATGGATTTTAAAAAATCACTTTTTTCCTTTAAAAAATGACCATAAACTTCTGTATTTTGTGAAAAGATGTGTCCTACTGTTGCCATCAACAAAAATGGATGGCTCACTAAAACTAGCCATGAAATCGAACAAAATTACTGAAAAAAATATAATCTATCTTTATCCTCAATCTCATTTCCACCTTCATTCATTACCTTGTAAGTGCTAAGGAGAGTCCTTTGCAAGGTAAATGAGCCTTTACTACAATAAAATTTATAAATTGATACATTTTTATTTTCACATGACATATGTTTGTGTCACAGAGTGCGATACATATCAAAAGTGTGTATAGAATATGTGGAGAGTGTCTTTCTATACTTATAAAAATATATATATTAAAACTTGTGATAGATACATATTTCATAAAAATTGTGATACACATGTGTCGCAATACTCACGACACGTATATGTAGAGAGTGGTGATGCATACATGTGTAAAAAATAGTGACACATAGTTATATTTAGACCATAAAAATATAAAGAGTATCATCATTCAATACTATAACTTTTCAGTAGGTCACCCATCATAGGATTACTCACCAAAGTACAGCTAACTATGAAATTGTTTAGCTTATATAAGATACATATTTAACAATATAGTTAAATTAACAATATAGTTAAAATCTAAGATTAACTATTTAAGCCCATCAGCAGATCCTGACACAATCCATGTAGGACTATTAACTTTTTTCAATTTTATTATATTGTATATCTAATAACACAAATATATATCGTAATTTGTACACTATTTATTTGTGTCATTGTCACATACTCCTTTGTAAATGAAGTGATAATTTTATGTGTCATAAAATAAGTATGAATATATGCAAATTTTGTTATAGTGCTTGCTTATTATTTGTGAAGACTGAATGTACATGGAGAATAAAGAACACCAAAATCCATAATTGTACCCTTGCGGAATTGTACTGGGCCATCTAGGAATAAGTCTTAAGAATAGAGTTAATTGGGACAGCATAAATTTTGTACACTAGTAGAAAAACTAGCAACCTAGATGGAACAAACTAGACGGAATTTTTTTCCGTCTAGTTTGGGTCAAACTAGACGGAATTAATTCCGTCTAGTTTGTTCCGTCTAGGTTGAAACAAACTAGACGGAAATATCCGTCTAGTTTGTTAATCTAGACGGAAAGATCAACCTAGACGGAAATTCCGTCTAGGTTGCCTCAACCTAGACGGAACTTTCCGTCTAGGTTAAAGGTCAACCTAGACGGAAATTCCGTCTAGGATGTACCGAGTACTCCAGATTTTCATTTATGCTAAAACTCCTACACATTAAGACACTTAGCGGTATGTCAGATAATTATTTTGAAATGCTTCTTGATTTGCTTCGAACTGTAATACCTGGAGGAGTGAATAGCATACCCCAAACAACTTATCAAGCTGAGAAGATTGTCGCTGCTCTGGGTCTAGATTATAATAAGATTGATGCATGTCCGAATGATTGTATTTTGTACCACAAGGCCAATAAAGACCTTCAAGAATGTCCGACATGTGGAGTTTCTAGGTGGAAACAACGTACAAATTCTTCAATAAGGATTACAACGGAGACAGAGATAACACAGAAGAAAATTCCAGCCAAGGTGCTTCGACATTTTCCATTAGCTCCTAGATTGCGAAGATTGTACATGAACAAAGAAACGGCGAAAAATATGAGGTGGCACAAGGAAGATCGAGTAGATGATGGTAAATTGAGACATCCTGCTGATGCGGTAGCTTGGAAGCATGTTGATAAAATTTATCCTCGATTTGCCGAAGATTGCAGAAATGTAAGACTGGGTCTGTCAAGTGACGGATTCAATCCATTTGGGGTAATGAGCTCTGGTTGGTCTACTTGGCCAGTTGTACTAATGCCATATAATTTACCTCCATTGCTTTGTATGAAACAGCCATTTATGATACTTTCATTACTGATACCCGGTAAACATGCACCTGGAAATGATATTGATGTTTACTTAGAGCCTCTAATTGATGAGCTGAAACAACTATGGTCTGAGGGTATTGTAACATATGATGCCCATTTAAAAGAATCGTTTAGATTACGTGCTATTCTATTATGGACGATTAATGATTTTCCAGCCTATGCTAATCTGTCTGGGTATTCCACAAAGGGAAAGTGTGCTTGTCCTGTATGTGGTCCGGAATTTGAAGCTCTTCAATTACCACATAGCCGAAAGAGTTGTTATTGGTTTAATCGAAGGTGGTTGCCCTTGAGTCATAAGTACAGAAAATTATCAGCTAAGTTTGATGGCACAGTTGAGAAAAGAATGAAGCCGCGTCAACTCACAGGTACTGAGATCGTTCAATTACTTGAGGGGTTTCCAAAAGTTGTGTTTGGAAAAAATCGATATTCTAAATTTAGCCCGCTCAGAGTAAGAGATTATTTAAAGTCAAAAAGGCCACTGAAGCGTAAGCGAAAGGTCCGGAAAATGCAAGTTGAGGAAGAAGACCAAAAATTACCTAGAGGATGGACTAAATTTAGTATCTTCTTTCAGCTACCTTATTGGCAAAATCTTAAAATCCGCCACAACTTAGATGTCATGCATATTGAGAAAAATATATGTGATAACATAGTATCAACTCTCCTACAAGATGCAAACAAGTCGAAGGATGATCTACGGGCGCGCCAAGATCTGACTGCTTTGAATATCCGAAATGATTTGCAAGCTCAAGATGTTGGACTTAAAAAATTAAAGTTGCCTCCGTCTCGTGTTACACTGACAAATGAGCAGATGCAACGATTTTGTGAAATTCTCAAATCAGTAAAGTCTCCGGATGGTTACTCTGCTAACATTTCAAATAATGTCCAAGTGCAAGAGCGAAAACTCTTAGGTCTGAAGACCCATGATTATCACGTTCTTCTCCATCAATTGCTTCCTGTTGCAATCCGTAACAATATGGATAAAGAAGCGTCGAAGATTATTATTGAGTATTGTGGGTTTTTCAGAAAATTATGCTCTAAAGTCATAGATGTAGATGAATTTAAAAAACTTGAAGCTGAGGTCCGAGTTACTCTATGCAATATGGAAGTAATATTCCCTCCTTCTTTTTTTACGGTTATGGTCCATCTTACCCAGCATCTTGCAAGAGAGGCTAGAATCGCCGGACCTGTTACTTATCGTTGCAGGTATAAAAATTAATTAATACTTTAATATATTTTACCAATTATTAATTATCTAGCTAATAGTGATTAATTTGTTGCAGATGCGGGTTATTCATCACCTGGCCCCTCTGATGCAGTACCAGAACCATCCCCTGATGCAGGTATTCAATATTATAATGCTCAATTATAATGGTTAATTAAAAACTATATTAATGATTCTCCTTTCTTATGTAGGGGATACTTGGACACCGACATATCCATCTTATACATTCCACACGGACTTGCGGCCAAAGACACAGGACTATCTTAGTTTACCTTTACCTCCAGCCTCTCATAAGTCTATGGCTGACGCAAGGAAGTACCATACACGTGCTGCGAGAAAATTAGAAGAAATGCGTGAAATGATTGAGACACGAAAGAAGGTTGCACTCGCAGCAAAGGAAAGAGAGATAGCGAATGGTAAATTGTATAAATACTTTTAATTTTCACATTTGTATATTATATGATATATTATCATGTTATTATTGTAGGTGCTAAGAAGGATCGTATCGAGAACAGACGTGGCGGAGGTAAGCCTGATTCTAAACAACCGCCAAGAGGAATGAGGGCCATTATTAGGTGGAATAGTTCTAATTTGCCCGTTGGTCCATGGTCGACCCGCTTGAATGCATATATTGGGGTTCTAGTGCGTAGAGCGACCATTATCAACCCTTATTTTCAATTTCGAGAACTACCATGGAGCGCATACGAGGCGATATGGACAGCGCTTATGGTAACTACATATTGCTATTACTTTTTATTTATTAATAATTAGTATTTGATATTAAATTATCTTTCCTAAATGTGTATGTAAATCTACAGGACTGCTTCTGCCTTGAGGACTTTGAGGGGGCTTGGAATTATGTGTTCAATGTTAAGGTTGAAGTAGTTCTCAAACAATGGAGGCATGAGATCAAACATGAAACCTATGACAGGTATGAGGAGGACTGGCAGAGGTTTTTAAACCTCGACGCCCGAGTTGACGAGGTTCATTTCACAGCTCTCCTCATGTATTGGGACAGCGATGCCTCCAAGGTTAGTTTCATGAAAATTACTTTATACTTTTAAGATATTAATTTATTGCATATTTGCTAATTTTTTTCTTTTAAAAAAGAATAAATCCACGAAGGGGTCAGAAAATAGAAGAAAGAAGCTGCATGACCACCACTTGGGCTCACACTCCTATGCCAATCTGGAGGATGTTTATTGTCAGGATACGGTAGATTTCCGTCTAAAGTTTTGATGAATTTAATGATTAGTATGATTATGAGTGTGATAATATATAATATGACAGGGAAAATCATTAATGCCAATACACTTGAGGGCGAAAGCGGCGTATGGCATTTTCCGTGATAGATATAGGGGTGATGAGAAGAATCGAGATAAGATCAAGGCAAATCTCGAGTTGGTGGTGAGAGTTATACATATCTTGAGTAGTATTATTAATTCCATGAATTAATTATATATTTGTGCTTTAGGAGGGATTTGAGGCTGCATCCAAGGAGGCTGCAACTGTGTATATGTCGCAGCAGGAGGAACAATCTGAGCCGGACCCTCACATGCTTTCTGCAGAGGACAACATTACTCTCACACAGCATTTGATGGGTCATAATAGGTATGGATGTAGAAAATTTGAATCAATTTGAATACTACATTCCTATTTATATTTTTTTATCATTATTAAATTCGAGATTAAAATTTAATATTTATTTCTCCCTAAACATAGGAGAGGGAGATATCATCTGCATGGTGTTGGAGCTTCACCCGGCGTAAGCATGAGGTCATCCACAGCATCCTCCACAGCATTTACATCCATGAGAGCAGCCCCGCCTCGGTTCCAGGCTATGCCATTTGTCGCACGTATCTCTGCATATTTGCTTGACAAGATTGACTCGGAGCTACATATCCAGGTGACTAATGAGATGACAAGAGTTGCGCTGACGGCGAACTCGATGGATGATCTCCTGGGGTATGTCATGCAATATTTAAGCGGTGTGATTCCTCATGGCGCGTATGGTGGTGTTATACGGATTATAAGCTCGCTTGGCGATAATTCCGGTGCTGGTCAGAGCAGCACTCAGGTACCTTATTTTTTTCTTAAAATAATAAATTCATTTATATTTAATATGTATTAAACACCCCTTAATGATTATTCAATTGACCATTCAGAGTGGAGATATTGGAGGGAGCAGCACACGTTCTCGTAACCAGGATAGAGATACTGCCGACGACGACGACCGATGAGGTTTATGAGGTTTTTTGTGGATTTTTAATGCAATGAACAGCTTTATCTGTTATAACAATACTTATATGCGTGTTGGATGTTATAACAATACTTATATGCGTGTTGGATTTGTTTATTATGCTGGAATTGATTATATTATGGCTGGATCTGTGCATTATGTTGGATTTGTATATTTTTGGGTTTGAATGGAAATGTCTAAAATCTTGATTATATTTGGATGGTTGGATGTATTCATATATACAGTATTTATTGTATGTATTCATGTATTGGTGTAATTGTACAGGGAAATACAAATTATAATATATATTTTTTTGCTGGAAAAAGAGCAATCTAGACGGAATTCCGTCTAGTATGAACCAAACTAGACGGAAATTCCGTCTAGGTTGTAATAATCAACCTAGACGGATTTCCGTCTAGGTTGGTTCAGTATAGACGGAATTCCGTCTAGGGTCAACCTAGACGGATTTCCGTCTAGGTTGATAACCTAGACGGTTTTCCGTCTAGGTTGTTAACTTAGACGGTTTTCCGTCTAGGTTAACAACCTAGACGGAAATGTAACTTCCGTCTAGGTTGGTTTCCGTCTAGATTGATCAATCTAGACGGAAATCCGTCTAGTTTGATCCAAACTAGACGGAAACAGAATAAACCAATCTACCTAGACGGATTTCCGTCTAGATGATCCAACCTAGACGGATTATAGACCAACCTAGACGGAAATTTCCGTCTAGGTTGGTCGTTTTTCTACTAGTGGTAAAGCACTCTTCACTTGGTCATTTTTGAGATAAATCTCCTTAAATATTTTAAATAGACGAAAGCCTTGAACTTTTAGGGAGTTTGCACGAAACCCCCTAAACTTCTTTTATCCTACTAAATTCTTTAAGTATTTTTCACTTTACCTTTCCAAAAGAACATCAATAGTCTAACATGTGACCATCTTATCCTTTTGTTCAGTTATATAAATTAGGAAAATATCTTTCAATCATTAAAAAGTTACAAAATTATCTTTATTATTATTATTTTCGCCAATATTTTTATAGTTGAGGGTTTTACATTTTGTTACCACATCCTTGACGTATGACATTTTACATTTTACAGTGCCGCTTTATAAGAGGTTAAGGCGAAAAATTCTTCCAAAGGGTTTAGCAAAGCAAATAATAATAATAATAATAATAATAATAAAATTCAACAGTATTATGTGCATAGCCCTCAAAGTTCAAGGGGTTTTTACGGTACTGCAACAGTTATGTTGTCTCAGAAAACGGCATAATTCTTTTAACTTGAGTTCTTAATTTCAATTATTATTAATCCATTAAGGGAGCAATCTTGCACATAAATATGCATGTGCATGTCAACATCTAAAATCATTCTCCGCGTGTCGTGTATATATTTTGATGGATGACGATTGATGATTACATAAAGCTGTCCCTATCTGCAAAATATATATATTTATATGTATATATAGGCTTTAATAAGTTAGTATTGGAAGTGATCAAAGCACACCGCACGATATGACTGCATTAACTCTTCCTTTTGCCTAGTCTCGACCGCATGATATGACTGCATTAGCTCTTCCTTTTACCTAGTCTCGAACCTTTACTCGGACACTTTTTTTGCTTTGAATAAAGTGAATATTGTTTCAAGAACTTGAATTTGGGAAGTCAATTGTGATTCAGAATCCTCTTACTTTTGCTTTTATGCTTAAGCTTTTAGTTATTGAAAAAAATATGGTTCAGCTCATTCAGTTCATCTATAGCCTAATATTATATGTATTTGACCCAAAAACATAACTTTACTCCTCCTCCAAAAACTATATTTTACCCATGTCTCCTGTTTTAACCCTCTCCACCCACCCAAAATCACCATTATTTCTCCTCCATCAAAATGCATCCTCCTTCTTCCTCCTTTTCCTCCTCTGTCCTCATCTTAAAATCCAAGCGTCAAAATCTTAACCTTATCAGCCCCACCTCCTTCTCCTCATATTGCAATCACTTCTCCCCTGCCGCCACCTTCGACCGCCTCATCCTCATTCCCTCATCCTCTTCTCCTGCTCTTGCCTCATCCTCTCCTCTTCTCCAAACCTTAATTCTAACCCTACCCACCAACCCTCTCTCCTTTCTCCTCTCCTAATTCTTCTCCTGCAAGTGTAGAAACCCTAAGTGCAAGTGCTTAAAGAAGGCGCTAGAGTTCGATGTCCAGATTCAAACCGAGGATTGTGTGAGGGAGAAGGGGTGGGGTAGAAGGAGATCGAAGATCTATCATGGAAAGGTGGGCAACAGGGGAAGAGCCACGATTATGAAGTTCTATGTGCCGAGCTGAGGAAGATGGCATCAGTCAATGGCCGGATTGTGCTACTATTTCGAGCGAGGTGTGGTTTCCTGCTAGTAAAGTTGGAGGCTCGGGGGCCGAAGAAGGGGCCAAGGCAAAATTGGAGTCTAGGGTTACGGTTTTCGCACTTCAGGATAGTTGGATGCAATAAATGTGTTTGATGAAATGCCACATAAGAATTTTGTTGCTTGGAGCTCTGTTATACTATTAAAGCTTGAATTCATCTAAAGAAGAGGCTTAAATTACTATGATTTTTATTGTTTTATTTTTTGGTCATTCATAGGATACAAAATATAGTGTTGATAAGCAATTACATATAATAATAGTAGGGGCGGTTAGTTAGGTGCATTTTAGTAGGTGATTTTTCTCCTGCTATAGTGCGCCTCTGTCTGGTTTTCGAATAAAAAAGAAGAAGAAGAATGGAAGCAAGGGGATCATCAATGCTACATTAAGAGACTCGATCTTTGTCTATCCTTCCTCATTCTCTGCGGGTGTAGCCGAGGGATCTGAGGGATCAATGGAGACCAATGAAGCTCAGGAAAGCAATGGAATAGTGAAGGAGGTACGAGCTTCTTCCAGGGAAATAATGGAGATGGAGAGTACATGCCCTAAGGGATCTGAATAAAACTAAATCAATTTCAGAACCAAGCCTGCTCAGATCAGATCCAGTTCTTGATCGTCAACTAAGTAATACCCCCAACTCTACTTCTTGGGCTGATGATGTGGAAGAAGAGTTTGCAAATGATTTAGATGAGTCAACGACGGTGATTGATGAGGATCTTAAGATTTTTACCCCTTTTGAGAAGATGAGGGCTGAGAATAATAAGAAGATGAGGTCTGAGATCTTGAGATTTTTACCCCTTTTGTAGCTCAATCCACAAGAGAGAAGATGAGTGCTAATAGACTCAATCTGAAAGGGGATGATAATGGCTATGCAGGAAATTTAGGACAGCATGATGAGGTTAACAAAGGGGAAGATAGAAAATCCTTTCTGAGTCTCTTTGCAGATAACAAAAAGCTAGGAAATGGACTAACTCTAAATTATATTCCACCCTTTCCTTCCGTTGCTGCTACTTTCTCTACTGAAGAATGGAGGGATGGTGAATAATATTGGAAAAACTCTTTGATAGGGCATGCCATAGGATTGAATGTCAAATTTAGATCTATGGAAACATACATAAGCAAAGCATGGGGTAGGATATCAATTCCTAAGATCTCTTTGCTCAAGCAAGGGGTATTCTTATTTGATTTTCAATCTGACCAGTAGATGAGAGAGATTTTGGAAGCTGGACCTTGATTTTTTGGCTCTAGACCTTTGGTTCTTAAGGCATGGTCTATTGAGACTGAAATGGAGAAAATACAGGATTACTCCTATCCAATATGAGTTCAATTCCCTAACCTAAGACTCAATCTATGGAGTGCTGTAGGCATTAACAAAATTTCAAGCCTTATTGGGTTCCCTATAACAACTGACATGCTTACTGCAACTAGACAAAGACTAAGCTATGCTAGAGTGCTACTTGAGGTGAAACTTTCCCTGAAGGAGCCATTTCTAGACACAGTTGAAACCAAAGGACCAGACGAGAAAAGTTACAATCAGAAGGTTATCTATGAACTTAAGCCTAGATGGTGTTCAAATTGTAATATTATTGGTCATGAAACTGATAATTGCATAAGGTAAAAGTTTAGAAAAATGTGGATCCCTGTTAATAGAAAGGAAGAGAATAATGCACGGACAAATGGTGCATAGACAGGTCCTCTTGTTTCTGAGCATGTATTTGGGCCAAAATTGGTAGATAGTGCTGAACAGGTTGTGAATGCACCTGAGGTGAATACATAGCCTCAAAAGAAGGGAGATGGACTAGATGTTGGAAAAGTACAGGATACACAGGTTGAAACTAATCTAAGGGATGTTGCCCCACCTGGTAAAGGAAAAACTTTTGCTAGCTCTCCTGAAACTGGGAAACATAGAAAGGTGAATGCTGCCCCACCCGATAAAGGATAGAAAGGTGAATGCTACCCCACTCGATAAAGGAAAAACTTGTGCTAGTTCTCCTGAAACTGGGAAACATGCACAACAAATGGTGTCTGACATTCAGAGTATTAGGCTTGGAAACTCTGGATTGGCAAATTTTCACCAATTTTCCATCTCCAATAGTTAATACATCTGGATTTACAAATGTTAGTAGGCCAAATGTTGCAAGGAGATTAATAGCAAGAATTCCAAGAGATTCAATTCAGACATCTCAATTCTCACCTCTGGATCAATAGGTCTTTGATTATGAACCCTGCTATATTGATAGGGGTGGAGGGTACTAATGCACTTAGCTATTTGGAATATTAGGGTATTTAGTAAATCCTCTAAACACTTAATTATGAAGAAATTCATTCATGATTACAAGCTTCCCCTTATAGCTCTCTTAGAAACAAAACTTTCTAAAGAAAAAAATGGAAAAAATAGCAAAAAAAAAAATAGCGAAGTATTAGGAATGGACTTCAAATATTCAGGAAGCAGGCAATGGGAGGATATGGCTTCTTTGGAATAATGACATACTCACAATTCAGTGTGTCAATGTCTCTGTACAATACTTGACATGTTCAGTTCAAGAGATGGCAGGTTTTCATGCTTGATGATCGTGGTTTATGCTCTTAACGAAAGAGAGGCTAGAAAACAACTATGGCAGGATCTTCAAAATTTTAAACTAACTGTTGATTGTCCCTGGCTGGTAGGAGGAGACTTTAATATAATTCTCAATAATGATG